GGACGCGGGCCGGCCGGAAGCAGCACCTGCCGCCTCCCAGGGAGCGGGGCCAGGCGCTGGCGGGGACCTGCGCGTCCTGATGCCAGGCTGAGCGCTGGCTCCCCTCTCCTGTGCTAAAACGCATCTACCAGGAAGTCGAGCTACGGCCGTGGCTGGTGCTTGGGGCTCACGTGGTGCTGCGGGTTTGTCCACCTCCACGTCCCTGTGCCTCTGCTCCCTGGAGCCTGGTCTGTCCCGGCTACATCCTGGTGCCGGCCCTGGCCGGGCACACAGCAGGGCGCGGGGCACAGCTTGTGCAGTGCTGGCTGCCGCCGGCCCTGGCGGGGCGACCCCTCCCACACACCCTCTCTCCCCCGGAACGCGGTGTCCTGGTTCCAGGGTCTGTAGGCTCAGAAAACAAGGCCAAGTCCAAATGCTTTTGTGCCTTTGGTGTTGTTTTTAAACAAAACTTGGGTTGGCCTGTGCGTCACTGACGGAAATGTGATCCTGGGCTGGTTGAGTCCTGCCGCCCGGCAGGGCGGTGTCCCCGCTGTGCTAACCCCGTGCGAGCTGGGGCTCCGAGCCCCGGCTGGGAGATGAAGCAGCAGGGCCTTGTCGGGTCAGCCGTGTCCCCACCGTCCCCGGGACCAGGCCTCCTTGGGGTGTGCAGGGACACTGTGGCCCTGGATTCGGGTCCTGAGGCTGCGCTGAGAATCGCACTGTTTGAGAGCTGAAGACAACACCCCCCCCCATCAGTCTCCGGGAGAAGCTGGAGTTGCCATGGCAACCGTCGGGCCGACTGGGCGCTTGTGAGCCAAGGCCTGGGAAGGAGCGGGACTCGTGGGCCGGGCTCCCTGCGTGTCTGAGACGCTGCGAGGAGGAGGCACAGGACCTCCTACGCAGTGTGGCCGACAGGGAGGCGCCCGAGAAGCCCACCCCCCACTTCTCCCTCTCCCACCCCGGGGGCTGCAGTCAGCTGTGTGCTGAGCCCCGCCCAACCACCGGGGCAGCGTGGCCGACGTTGTGGTCCAGCCGGTTAAGCCGTGGCCTGCAGCACCAGCATCCCAGGAGCACCGGCTCCACTCCCGGCTGCGCCGACTCCCTGCGAATGACCTGGGAAAGCAGTGGAACACGGAGCTCCAGGCTGGCCCGGCCCCCAGCTGTTGTGAACCGGTGGATGGAAGACCTCTCTCGCTCACTCTCTTTTTTTTTTTTTTTTTTTTTGACAGGCAGAGTGGACAGTGAGAGAGAGAGAGAGACAGAGAGAAAGGTCTTCCTTTGCCGTTGGTTCACCCTCCAATGGCCGCCGCGGCCGGCGCGCTGCGGCCGGCGCACCGCGCTGATCCGATGGCAGGAGCCAGGAGCCAGGTGCTTTTCCTGGTCTCCCATGGGGTGCAGGGCCCAAGCACCTGGGCCATCCTCCACTGCCTTCCCGGGCCACAGCAGAGAGCTGGCCTGGAAGAGGGGCAACCGGGACAGAATCCGGCGCCCCGACTGGGACTAGAACCCGGGGTGCCGGCGCCGCTAGGCGGAGGATTAGCCTAGTGAGCCGCGGCGCCGGCGGGAAGACCTTTCTGTCTCTCACTGTCTACAACTCTACCTAATTAAAAAAAAAAATAATCCTCCGCCTAGCGGCGCCGGCACACCAGGTTCTAGTCCCGGTCGGGGCGCTGGATTCTGTCCCGGTTGCCCCTCTTCCAGGCCAGCTCTCTGCTGTGGCCCGGGAAGGCAGTGGAGGATGGCCCAGGTCCTTGGGCCCTGCACCCCATGGGAGACCAGGAGAAGCACCTGGCTCCTGGCTCCTGCCATCGGATCAGCGCGGTGTGCCGGCCGCAGCGCGCCGGCCGCGGCGGCCATTGGAGAGTGAACCAACGGCAAAGGAAGACCTTTCTCTCTGTCTCTCTCTCTCTCTCACTGTCCACTCTGCTTGTCAAAAAAAAAAAAAAAAAAAAAAAAGGTCTTCCCTCCGTTGGTTCACCCCCCTAAGGGCCGCTATGGTCAGCACTGTGCTGATCTGAAGGCAGGAGCCAGGTGCTTCCTCCTGGTCTCCCATGGGGTGCAGGGCCCAAGCACTTGGGCCATCCTCCACTGCACTCCTGGGCCACAGCAAAGAACTGGACTGGAAGAGGAGCAGCCGGGACTAGAACCCAGCGCCCCAAGTGGGACTAGAACCCAGGGTGCCAGCGCCGCTAGGTGGAGGATTAGACTAGTGAGCCATGGTGCCAGCCTGTGACTCTTTGAAATTAAAAAAAAAAAATTAAATATTTATTTGAAAGGCAGTTACAGAGATACAGAGATGCAGAGGCAGAGAGAGAGAGAGGTCAGTCTTCCATCCACTGGTTCACTCCCCAGATGGCCGCAACAGCAGGAGCTGAGCCTCTCTGAAGCCAGAAGCCAGGAGCCAGGAGCTTCTTCCGGGTCTCCCATGCAGGTGCAGGGGCCCAAGGACTCGGGCATCTTCCACTGCTTTCTCAGGCCACAGCAGAGAGCTGGATGGGAAGTGGAGCAGCCGGGACTGGAACCAGTGCCCCATGGGATGCCGGCACTGCAGGCAGAGGCTTAGTCCGCTACACCACAGTGCTGGCCCCGATTTATTTATTTGAAAGGCAGAGTTTACAGAGAGGAGAGACAGAGCGAAATCTTCATCCACTGGTTCACTCCCCAAGTGGCCACAATGACCAGGGCTGGGCCAGGCCAAAGCCGGGAGCCTGAAACCTCCTCTGGGTCTCCACGTGAGTGCAGGTCTGAGGACTTGGGCCGCCTCCCAGTGCTCTCCCAAGTGCAGTAGCAGGGAGCTGGATCGGAAGTGGAGCAGCCAGGACTGGCGCCCACATGGGATGCCGGTGTTGAAGGCAGCAGCTTTGCCAGCTATGCCACAGTGCCAGCCCAGAAAAATTCTTAAAAAAAAAAAAAACCAAAAAGACTTCTTCATTGCTATCACGGGGCTGGGTGCTGAGGCAGGAGGGGTGGGGCTGCTGGGTGGGTGCTGGGGAACACCCCTGTACAGCCCAACACCGCACGCTCCCTCGCCCAGAACATGACCCACGCGTGCGGCTGCATTTGCGGGGGTCTCTGGACCAGGCCCACCCACCTGTGGGGGTCTGGTGCGGGGGAGGTGCACAGGGCTCTCGAGGCCATGTGGCCGTGGCACAGCTCTGTGCGTGGATAAAATGCCACGGAACGGTGTGAGTCTGAAGTGGTTCACGCTACGTGAACTCAGCTCAGTTAGAGCCCCCTTCTCCCAGCCCGTTTCACATGTGAGAGGCAGACAGGCAGGCAGACAGCGGAGGTCTTCCACCCCCTGGCTCATTCCCCAGCTTTCCCCAGCAGCTGGAACCTGGAACCCGCCCTGGCTCTTCCAAGGCTGACAGGGACCCAAGGACTTGAGCTGAGCCTGCTGCCTCCCAGGGCACGGACTGGCAGCTGGACCGAGCGAACTGGGCCTGCGCCGCGTCGGCTCTCCAGGCCTCGGAGTCAGCGCTGAGCCGTCCTGGGTGCCCCAGCGCCCGTGAGGTCTCTGGGCTGCTGGCACTCTGGCGGGCGCGCTGCGCTCTGGCTTGACCCTCGGTGGCGGCGTGCTGATCCCCGCCCGCGTGACGCTGACGCTGAGCCACTCTGGGGTTTTCAGCCGCTCCTCTTGGATCCTGCCCTCTCCTCACCAGGGACGCGCCGGTGCGGGGGCCAGGCGTCCTGTGTCTCCCAGGCTGCTCCGTCTGGTTGACGGTTTCGCCGCTCAGATCCAGTCACTGAAAGACTCGCCAGCGGACTCCACGCACTCCACCTGCTAGAGCCTCGCAGTACCAGGATTCTTAGCTTTTACAAACACACTTTATACAGTTACTTATTTGAAAGGCAGAGCAACAGAGAGCGAGCGAGAGAGCGAGAGAGAGCGAGAGAGAGAGGTCTTGCATCCACTGGTTCACTCCCCAGACGCCTCTATCAGCCAGAGCCAGGCCCGGCCCCCGAGGCAACTTGGGGAGGCGTGGTGGACCAGGAGCCGGCCTGGGCATCGGACAGCAACTTGGGGTGCTCTGCTGGGGAGGCGTGGTGGACCAGGAGCCGGCCTGGGCGTTGGACAGCCTGGGCTCCGAGCACTGTGGATCTGCACGGCTCACAGCCTGCAAGCTGGGGAGCTCGGCCCCGGGCGCCCTCAGCGGCTGGTGGATTTGGAACCTCAGGCCGATGGGGACTTCCTTTGGCAAGCGCAGCAAGTGGGTGAATGCAGACAGCGGCACAATGCGATGTCCCCTACCCCTGGGCCCCCCACCCTAGCCCTGTTGGACTCCCCGAGGACACCCCTCAGCCCTGTGTCCCCGCCCCAGCCCTGTTGGACACCCCGAGGACCCCCCTCAGCCCTGTGTCCCCCCCCAGCCATGCTGGACTCCCCGAGGGCCCCCCTCAGCCCTGTGTCCCCGCCCCAGCCCTGTTGGACACCCCGAGGGCCCCCCTCAGCCCTGTGTGCCCCCCCGCCCTGTTGGACACCCCGAGGACCCCCCCTCAGCCCTGTGTCCCCCCCCAGCCATGCTGGACACCCCGAGGGCCCCCCTCAGCCCTGTGGCCCCGCCCAGCTGCTGGGGACACCCTGAAGACCACATAAAAACCGTGGCTCGCCAGGGCAACTGTGCGCAGACACAGGCAGGTGCTTCAGCGCCCACTTCCTGGCTTCCGAGAGCCTGGGTCCAGACGCTGACGCTGCCCCTCAGCGGGGCTCACCCCGAGACAGGGGCGCTGCTTCTGGGGACGCAGCCACCTGGGCCCTCGGCTCACACACGTGCACGGAGAGGACCGGAAGCACTGGCCTGGGTGAGGAGTGTGCTCCACGTAAGAACACGCGGGGCTCGGCGGGGGCCGTGGTGCCCGGCTGCCTGGTGGGGAGACGCCGGCCATCCTCACCCGCGCCAACGTCGGCTTCACGCCAGCTCAGAGCTGCCCAGAGCCCTGGGGGCTCCCCTAGCCTGGCGGGAAGCAGGCGACATTCAGAACCCCGCGCACATGGGAATTTTAATAGAAAAGGCCGGGCATTTAGAAAGTTATAATTTATAGAATACTCTGTACAAAAGCAGTCTTCCAAAAGGGGCCCCCGCGCCTCAGAAGAAATCCATGGCCGTCGGCCTCTTCTTTGGGGTGGCAGCCAGCGGCTTCTTGGCCACCAGGGGCGTGCCGGCCGGCGAGCTCGTGGGCGTCTTCAGCACTCCGTGGAGGGGTCTCTGCTCAGGGTTGAAGGCCACGCGGGAGGGGCCCGTGGGACTGACTAAGATGCTCTTGTCCGTCTTCTTGAACTCTGCAAGGGAACAGAAGGCCCGAGGTGAGGGGACGACCCCGGGCCGCAGCCCCCAGCCCCCCAGCCCCCGGGCCAGGGCCGAGGCGGAGCCTGTCCCCAGTTCTGCACGAGGCGGGAGTACCCGGCAGGCCTCTCCTCTGCACACCACGCACGGGGGCCCGAGCCTCAGCAGAGGCAGCCGGGCTGGGGACTGCTGGGCCCCGACGGCCTCTCGGGGGCCCAGCTCCAAGCAGCTGGGGAGCTGCCCGGGAAACCGGCTCTCGGGAGGCCCACGCCCACGGGCCCCCGGGACGGCTCCTGACCCCATGCCCACCGGCTCCCAGCCTCCCCGACTCGCCTGCAGTCGTGTTTCTGCTCAGCCCGAAGGTGACCCTCTTGGCGCTGGACGGCGTCCTGTTCAGCTGGGGAAGAAACAGCACGAGGGGGCGACACTGACCGGGCTGCCGGCTCTCGCTGGAGACCCTGCCCAGCGGGGAGGCCCCCGGCACACGGGTGCAGCCTCGACTACACGTCCCAGCGCCCGGGTCTGTCAGGCCGCGCAGGCCACCCAGCGTGTTCTGAAGGAAGCAAACCCCAGCCAGGACGTCGATGACAGCCCGGCCGACAGGAGACGCTCGGCACCAGCCATGACCAGGGTCCCCACTCCAAGCTGCAGGCTGCACGGCGCTGCCGAGACCACACCCCTGGTGGACCTGAACTTCAGGGGGCAACAGGTGCGAAACTGCCTGCTGTTCACGTGCAAGACTGGGCTACCTGGACAGCGATGCGCCTAGAAGTGGGTCCCCTGGGCGTCACAGCACCCCGGCCCCCGAGAACCAGGCCTCTGGTGCAGCCGCACTCCCAGTTCTCCACCTGTGCCCTGACGGCAGACGCGCGGCAGTGAGCAGGCCCTGCCAGTGCGAGCCCTGGGGCTGAGGCAGGACGGGGTGAGTGGCTACACGGTGGCTCCCCACGGCGCCAGGCGGCTGACCACTCCAGAAGCAACCAGGCCCTAGAACAGGCACCTGTCTCAGGCGGGAGCTGGGGCCTGAGTGCAGGGCTCCGATGGCCGCCGGGGCCCGTACCTGGACGGCAGGACGTGGCGGGCAGGTCGTGGGGCTGCTCTTTGCTTTCCTGAAGAACAGGGGCTTTGGCGAGAGGGACGTGTCGAACTTCACAAAGTCGCTCTCGGTCCTCAGCAGCTTCTTCACGGGGCTGAGGGGCCCGCGGCCTCCCTAGGGGCGAGAGGCACAGGCAGGGATGGCATCGCTGGGCCTCCTGCCAGGCTGTGCACAGGAAGTGAAACCGGGACAGCGCCCCGGGCAGCGCGGAGTGGCCCCGGCTCCCTCTGTCAGAGCCCCACTCACGCTGCACCCACAGGGTGTCAATCGTCCGGCGACCCTCGTCCGGGGACCCTCGCTCCTCCTCCCTGCGCAGGCCTGTGCGCTCAACTCTCCTGTTTTCCCACCTGCCTACCCCAGTCCCCGCTGGGCAGTGGGGCACCCGCAGTGGTTCTGGATCCGAGGCGCTAAGAGGCCGCGCAGCCAGCGCCGCGTGGGTGGTTTCGGCAGGTTCCCGGTGTGCCTGCGCCCGGGGAAGGGCAGCCCCGGGGCCCGGTGCCACCCCTGCTGCCAGCAGCCACAGGGACAGGACGCTCCTGCCGGGAGCACCCGGGAGGCCCCGTGCAGGGAGATGGAGGGAAGGTCTCAGCGTACCCGTCTTCCTCTGCCTTCCCCGCCCCAGGTCCCAAGGACCACACTGTCACCCACTCCCCACTCGGCGCTGGGCCCACGGTCACGGCCACCGCGGAGCCGTGCGCGAGCATTGGCGCTGGACGAGGGTCCCGAGGAGCTGGTCTGGCTCGGTGGCTGGGGGTCGCTGCCACCTGCAGGCCATGGTGTGGAGGACACGGCCAGCGCCTGGCCCTGCCTGGCTCTGCAGAACCCAGCACAAGGGGCGGGGCTCCCTCCTGCACCGGCAGGAGACGGCAGGAGACGGGGGCACTGTCAGCCTGCACACAGGGCTTTTCCCAGCTCAGCGGCGACCCCTTCCCGAGTGTGGAAGTGCTTGGCCACGAGACCTGCGCCCGTCACCTCCTGGCGGGGAAAGGCTGCGACAAACCCCGTGTCTGACTGGCCAGCCCCTCCCCCGCCGACGCTGCAGCTCAGCCCCCCACCTTACCAGAGCTGAGGTCGGCCTGCCTTCGGGCCCCAGCAGGTCCGACATCCTCCTTTTCCTCCGCTTCTTCAAGATGGCGCTCTTCTGCCGGGCCAGGCCCTGCACGTCGAGGCTGCCCGGCCCAGACTTCCTGTTCTGCGACTTCTCGCGCCGGGGGAGGGCAGCCTGGTCAGCCCCCGCCTCCGCTGGGCTCGCTGCAGGCCAGGCCAGCGTGAGCAGGCTGCTGCCCTTGACCAGGAGCGCCCCGAGTTTCCGCTTCCTTTTCAGGGCCTGGGCTCTGCCTTCCGGGGAGCCTCTGGTGGCGCCCGGGCCACTCTGGGCCGAGTCCTGCAGCGGGGACCCCGATGGCCGGGCCTCTCGCTGAGCCTGCAGGCTCTTCTTCAGCCGCTTCCTCTTACTGGGGGAGGGGGTGACGGGGAGATGCTCCGAGCCACTCTCCTCCCCAGGGCTGCCCGCCGCGGCCTCTGCCCTGTTCTGCCGCAGGGACACAGCCGCGGCCTCAGGACCGGACGCTTGAGGCGGGAGGGGATTCTTCCTCTTGCGTCTGCTCTCGGGAACGCTGCCTCCACCGTCCTCTTCCACAGCCACGACTCCAGTCCCTAAACACACACGCTCGTCAAGAAGCACCCCAAGGCCAGCGTGCCCCACAGCCTGGCTGGGGACCAAGGCCAGGCTCCCTGGAGTCCCCCACGGGGAGGTGGACTCCTGGGAGCTCTTGGTGCCCCTGGCTCCGCCAGCAGCCCCAGTTCCTCCATTCCTAGCTGTGCCCAGGAGCCCCCGCTGTCCACTTCAAAGCAAGCAGAAACCTCCGCAGACCTGTTACCTGGGGGCCATGTGGTGGAAGCCTGCCTCAGAGGGTGGTGTGTGCCACCAGGCCTGCACCCCGCCTCTGCCAGCGCTGGGGAGACCTCGGCCTTGCAGCCCCCCAGCTCTGTGCTGTGCGGAACGCCCACGGGCACCCAGGGCAGAGCCACGCCCGCTCCCGCCTGCCCCGAGCCCCGCAGCCCTGCGCCCTCCCTGGAAGTTTATCTCCTTTTCTCCTAAGCTGTCCTTGACTGAGGACCTGGTCATCTCCATCAGCAGACACATCTCCCACTGGCCATGAAGTGACCCTGCTGCCTGCCCCGCTGGCACCGAGGCTGGGTTTTACGCCTGACTTCTGCCTCACCAGTGCCATTCCAAGGGAGGGCAGGGCACACGTCCTGCTGCTCAGCCCTGGGGGGGCGGGGCTCTTCCTGATTCTCTGTGGCCCCTGGCCCAGGAGAGCGAGCTCACGGCCTTGCTCGGGTGCAACTTGGGCTACCGCCTTTCCCCCGAGGGACAACCGACCCTGAGAGTGTGGAAGGAACCGTGGGGTCAGCGGCTGCTGCTGCTTCAGGGTCGACCTGGAATCTTCCCATGCGGCGAACGCAACCCAAACCCACAGCACCCACGCGCGAGGGCAGCCCCTCCGCCTCGCCTTTGTGGGCGAGCCCAGTGAGGGGGGGCGGCCGGGCCGCACCAGAGGGCACGCGCTTCCCCACCTCCTCCAATACTGCACACAGTGCCCCCAGCCGGGGCCACATTCACGTCAGAGCACACGGGCCACGGCCTCCGACTCACCTTCAGAGAGGTCCCGGAACCTGAAACGGAAAGTGACAGAGAGCAGGCACTTAGCCCAGCGCCGGGACAGCCGTGTCCTGCTTCAGGGGACACGGCTCGGCTCCTGCCTACACGGGCCCTGGGGACGGGGTGATGGCTCAAGTCACAGGTGGGGACCCGTGCTGAGGCCTGCCTCCTGGCCTGGCCCAGCGCCGGCCACTGCAGAAGTCTGGGGAGTAGGCTGGCCAGTGGAAGCTCTGCCTGCCTACCTCTTATAAAATAACTAAATGAGAAAAGAAGAAAAAAGTCTCGCTTTGTACTGAACTCAAACACCGTGGGGTGGGCATCGCGGGCAGTGGGTCGAGCTACTGCTCGGGTGCCAGGCTGGACCCTGGCGGCCCCTCGCCGACCAGCGCCTTCCAGCTGCGACACTTCCAGCCCTGAGGCCCCTGCCACCACGTGGGAGACCCAGATGGCGCGCCTGGCTCCAGGGGCTTCTGGGGACGAACCAGCGCACGGAAGAGCCATCTCCTCCTCGCTCCTCTTTCTCCGTCACTCTGGCTTTCAAATAAATACACAAGTAAATCTTAAAAGCAAAGCGAACCCCAAACACACCAGCAATGCTGGGTGTCTTCCTTCCTGGAGCAGGGGTGCTCCCTGAGGAAGGTGGGGACGTGGGCTCAAAGCCAGGTCGCCTGGTTTCCTCTTCCCTGTCTCTGAAGGCAGAGCTGGCTTAGGCCTCCGCGCGTCCCTTCAATCCTCCGCGGCACCCGGACAAAGAGGCGGCGTCCAGGGGCTGTGTGGGGGCGGGAGGTGCGTGGATGACGGCCCCAGCACTGAGGACACCACCCGGGAGAATGCGGAGTCACAGGAGCTACCCTCGGGTTTTTTTTTTAAAGATTTATTTACTTGAAAGTCAGATAAAGGAGAAGCAGAGAGAGGGAGAGGGAGAGAGAGAGAGAGAGAGAAGGGAAAGAGAGAGGGAGGGAGAGAGGGGGAGAGAGAGAGAGGAGAAGCGGGGGGGGAGAGGCAGAGAGAGAAGCAGAGAGAGAGAGAGAGAGAGAGAGAGAGAGAGAGAGAGAGAAGGGAGAGAGGGGGAGAGAGAGAGAGGTTTTCTCTCTGCTGGTTCACTCCCCAGATAACCACAACGGCTGGAGCTGAGCTGATCCGAAGTCAGGAGCCAGGAGCTTCTCCCAGGTCCCCCATGTGGGTGCAGGGCCCAAGGACTTGGGCCATCATCCACTGCTTTCCCAGGCCACAGCACAGAGCTGGATTGGAAGTGGAGCAGCTGGGACTAGAACTGGCGCCCATGTGGGATACTGGCACTGCAGGTGATGGTTTTGCCTGCTAGGCCACCGCGCTGGCCCTTTGGGGTTCTTTTCTTAGAAGCAAACACTCTGTCTCTGCGAGGCAGGGAGACAGGGGGCAGAGCGAAGCTCTCATTAGCTGACTCAGCCCCTGAATGTCCGCCACAGTGGCTGGAGGGGCAGGAATTCAGTCCAGGCCTCGCACGTGGCTGGCGGGGGCCACCACCTGCGCCGGCACTGCTGCTCCCGGCACGTGCAGGAGCAGGAAGCCGGAGTCAGGCGCTAAGTCCAGGCACTCCGACACGGACCAGGGCCCCGGAGCTGCTAAGCAGACGCCTGCCTCATGAAATAGCCTAATACATGGCAAGCGGCCGGCACGGAAGAGTACGATTAATCATCCATGAATCACAAGACGCAGGGGCCACGGCCCCCACACTCACTGCTGGGTCATGGAACACTTCCGGTGTGAGACATGGATGGGTCACCAAGCCCTGCCTGTCTTGAGAGCACACGAGAGGACCCCACACGGCAGCCGGATGTGGCAACTGCTCGACCCACAATTTTAGACGTCAACAGGTCTGAAACTTCCCAGCACCGGAAATGGCGGGGACAAGCATGGCCGCACAGGGAGAAAGGGACTCGGGGTCTGGGGGCGGGGTCTGCCTCACGGAGCACCTCAGTCCCCGCCCCCTCGCCCGGCACCCACTTCCGGTCCCCGCCCTCTCGCCCAGCACCCACTTCCTGATGAGCCTGCAGAGGTGCTTCCTGTTGAAGGGAGGGGTGTTTTTCTTGTTGGTCACTTCCAGCAGCCGATCCGCGACAGCCCTGTAGTCAAACTGTGAGACCAGAGAAACCGCGCGTGAGCCTGGGGCTGCACCACACTCCCGGCAGCTCGGGGCGTGCCGCTGGGGGGCGCCGGGCCGCGTCCACCCCAGGACGGTCCCCGCAGGCACGGGCGAGGCACAGGCGAAGGTGAGCCACTGGTGTTGAGTCCAGGTTGCCAGTCACTACTCGGTGACACGGAACCGGAGCCGACTCTGCAGCTACTGAAAACCAGGACTCATTTTATGTTTCAAAATTCCAGTAGACTTGGTTTTTTGGTCTCCAGTAAGTTTGGTCTGTGGAAGACGACATCAGTGGCAGATGGATTAACAGGACTTTACACACCAGGTGTTGCGGCTTCCCTAGCCTTGACCCTAATTCCACAGCCAGGCCCCCACCCAGGAATCCGTACTGTATAGACAGCAACACCTGCCACCCACCTGGAGAGGAGGCCCAGCGTCCTCCAGGGCCCCACGGGTGTCCCTCTCTCTCTGGTCACAGGTTCCATCTTTCCTCGAGGGGCATTTGCCCAGTGCTAGGAAAAAGGACGACACCCCCAATGCACCAAGTGCAGCCCACGGAGCCGCCGGCAGCCACGTGGCTCAGGACAAAGACGGCTCTGGAAGGCAAACATGTTGCTTTTTCTCCCAGGACACGTCACGGACACACGGATTCCGCGTTTCCTGCGGGGCTGTGCAGGGGCACGGGGAGGCCCAGAGCCACAGGAAAACCCACAGGCGCGGGACGCTAACCTCGCCCCGTCGCAGCACTCTGCCGCCACTGCTACCCACCTTCTCCTCTGTTGTTCCAGACTCCCATGAATAAAGGTTTAAAACAAAACCAAACCCAAGGGGCCAGCACTGTGGTACCACGGGTTAAGCTGCTACCTGCCCAGCATCCCTGAGCTCAGGTTTGAGTCCTGGCTGCTCCACTTCCTGCCCCTGCGTCTGGGAAGCAGAAGGCCCAGTGTTTGGGCCCCTGCACCCGCGTGGGAGACCCGGATGGAGTTTTTGCCACTTAGGGAGTGACTCAATGGAAGGAAGATGCTGTCTCTGTCATTCTCTGCGACTCAGCGTTTGAGATAAGTGAATACAGCTTGAAAACAAACCAGCCTTGGGGCCGGCGCCGTGGCGCAGTAGGTTAATCCTCCACCTGCAGCGCCGGCATCCCATGTGGGTGCCGGTTCTAGTCCTGGCTGCTCCACTTCCAGTCCAGCTCTCTGCTGTGGCCTGGGAAAGCAGTAGAAGGTGGTCCAAGTGTTTGAGCCCCTGCACCCGCATGGGAGACCAGGAAGAAGCTCCTGGCTTCGGATTGGTGCAGCTCCGGCTGTTGCGGCCATTTGGGGAGTGAACCAGTGGAAGACCTTTCTCTCTGTCTCTCCCTCTCACTGTCTGTAACTCTACCTCTCAAATAAAAATAAAACAAACACAAGCATACACACACACACAAACACACACACACACCAGCCTCTGCCCAGAGTTTTGCTGGAAGGAGGCTGTGGGCTGAGGGACACGCCAAACTGAACAGAACCACGGAGCAGCCAGGGAACCCGAGCCTGGCAGAGGCGACGAGAGGCGACCCCTCAAAGACCTCAGCTCCCTGCCTGGCTCTGGCTTTCCCAGATGCCCTGCTGTTTCTGGGCGGGGTCCCAGGCAGCACTGCACCCCGAGAGGCCAGCAGCGTGTTCTAGCGCTTGTCTGGTGAGGAGTTCACCTGAGACAGGCAGCCCGTCCCGGCGTCCTCGTACCTGGCCTCCTCCTGGCGGCTTCCGTCCACACCTCCTTGTTCCCGGCAGTCTCTTCTTCAGAGAGGTCCCCGCCACTCTCAGGTACAAAGGGAGACTGATCTACAATGACTTCAAAAACACCCCTAGCTATAGTCTGTACCAGCGTGTGGCTGAGGGGAAAGCACAGTGGAGAACGGGATTAAAACGGGGGAGTGCACCTAGCACGGGGGGGGGGGGGGACAGAGGGAGCACCCCACAGAACTGCCGTCGGCCCAGGGCCCCGAGTGCCTGGCGCTCGTCAGCAGGCACCCGGATCCCCAACACAAGTCCCGCGCCACCAGCACGGCTGGGAGGAGCCCCCAAGCGCGTGTGACGGGGCCTCCCCGCCACTCCCCGTGGCTCAGGTGCTGGGCGGAAACTCGGGCGCTCTGCACTGTGCCCCCAGCCCTGGCCCCTGAAGCACCTCCACGGCAGGAACAAGCCCGCCCGCCCGTCCTGAGAGGCTGGGGGAGCCAGCGCGAGCCACTTACTCCTTGGTCCTGGCAGCAATCCTGCAGAACGGGTCAATAAACTTCAGATTCTGATCTGCCAAAAGCTGTCAATCAGGAACACAATGGGAAAAATGAGAAAGAAAGAGCCTTCCCCCCGCACCCCGCTTCCTCCTGCAGGCGCCCCCACGGAGGCTGAGGCAGACGGGGAGCAGGGCCCCGAGCCAGCCCGGAGCCGTGGCTGTGCCCAGGAATCCCCGCAGGGCTCACTTCCAGGACGAAGCGACTGCCTCTGACACAGCATTCACATTTTCTTTTGGGTCAAAACTAACAGGGGTTGGGCATCTGGTCTGGCAGTGAAGGTGCCAGACGTCGCGACACCCATGTCCCACGTCCCATACGGGAACGCCTGGGCCCCACACCAGCTCCCTGCTAATGCAGGCCCTGGGAGATAGCAGTGATGGCTCAAGCAGTAGGCCCTTGCCGCCCACGTGGGGACCGCACTGGGTTTCTGGCTGCTGGCTTGGTCCTGGCCCAGCCCCAGGAAGGGCATCTGTGGGAGTGAGCCAGTGGATGGGATTTCTGTCTCTCTAATCTCTCCACATCACGGGATCCTTCAGCGGCCTCTGCAGGCTGCTCCCGATTTGGCTTTGTAAGCAAGATGGCCCACACACTGGGCAAGGAATTTCCGTCTGTAAGTAGGACGGTCTCAGTGCACAGACCTCCGCACGTCCCACGAGCTGCTCAGGACACAGTAGCAGACGGGGAACGACGTGTTAAGAGGGGCTGAGGGGCCGGCGCTATGGTGCAACAGGCTAAGCCGCCGCCTGCAGCACCTGCACCTCACATGGGCGCTGGTTCGAGTCCCGGCTGCTACACTTCTGATCCAGCTCCCTGCTAATTCCCCTGGGAAAGCAGTGGAAGATGGCCCAAGTGCTTGGCCCCTGCACCCACGTGGGAGACCTGGAAGAAGCTCCTGGCTCCTACCCGGCCCAGCTCTGGTTGTTGCAGCCATTTGGGGAGTGAAACAGACGATGGAAGATCCTTCTCTCTCTCTGTCTCTCCCCCTCTTGCTGTAACTCTTCCAAATAAATAAATCTTAAAAAAGAGGGGGCTGAATTGATGCTGCTACTGTCGCTGGCCCCAGCCAGCGTCAACAGTGTTCCAAGGACAGCTCCGGCACCGCCTGGGGCCCTGGTGCTGCCGGCACCGCGACGAAGGCGCCTTACCTCTCCCCCGCCCACTTTGGAGAGCTCGTCCAGGTACATGTCAATGAAGTGGGCCCTCACTCCGTCAGGAGACGGGCTCTCGGGGCGCAGGACCTCCTTCACCAGCCCATCCAGGAACAGCTGGACGCGACTAAGAGGAAGCACACGCACTTCCTGTCAGACACGGCCCGCTGGCGCTCGCCCCACAGTGGGCACCCAGCACCCCGCCAGGTCACCGACCTTGGCTCCCAGCCGTTCCGCTTCAGAGCCTCCAAGGACTGCCTCAGGACCAGGCGGGCCAGCTGCCGAGAGACGGGCGCATCAGCAGAGCGCGGCTGCCGCAGACTCACGGTCTCCCGGGACGGGCCCCGCGGCTCTTACCGTGCAGTACTTGCCCACGCGTGGCCCGTCTATCCCCTTCCACTCCCGGGTCATGGTCCGCCAGAAGGTCTCAATGAACAGGTGCTCTGCAGGGGCACAGGGTCCTCTGGGCACCGCCCTGGGCTGCCCCGCCCCCAGCCCGCACTCCTGAGCGCCCTGGGGCCCCTGGAGGAAGCTCGGCCTGGAGTCTGACGCTGGGCGTCACCTGGGCGAGTGACAGCACACGCACCTCGGCCATAAAACGTGCGCTTTCTAAACTGCAAAGCAGCTTCTCTACACGACACCTCCTCCACCCTCTAACCGCGCTGCGCGCTGACTCGGTTTCCCCGGCAGGCACCCGAAGGCGCCAGGACTCACGGGCCTCCAAGTTGTTGATGACGTGGACGAGCTGGGAAATAGAGTCGGCTAGCTCCTCCTGCAAAGGGGGGTTGGAAGACACACGGGGTCACCACGTGGTTGCGGCTGTGTGCTGCCCCCGCCACCCCTGCTCGGGAGGCCTGGGCGGCTCGAAGGGCCACCAAAGGAGCCGTCCCCGGTTCCCGTGGAGACCGTCTGGAGGGCACATCTTAAGGAAGCAGCTCCAGCTAGCAGGTCAAAGGACGGACAGAGGTGACGCGGAAACTTCAGGTAAGCAGTGAGCCTGCCCCGGCACCTCTGAGGCTGTGGCAGGAACGAATGGCAGCCTCTTGGAGCTGTTTTCCAGTGCTCCGAGGCCGCGTGCCCTCTGCGGCCTCTGGGAGTTGGGGCCTGGGCGTGCCCGGCCGAGTCTCCCCACCCCGCGCGAGGCCTGGGCGCGACCCGGGCGGCTGGCCTACCTGCAGCCGCGGCTCCTCCTGCACCCACATGCAGCAGAAGAGCCCCCTCCAGATCTTCAGCAGCTCTTCCTGGCTGAAGCCTCCTGGAGACAAACAGCACGAGGCTCCCCTGAGCCTTACAGGAGCGGGGAGGTCCACCTTGCGCCTCCACGCGTCTCCCAGGCGCCACAGCAGCTCGTCAGGGGCACGGCAGGCTGCGGGGGGCGGGTCCACCTCCGGGCGACCGCCCCCACCAGCAGTGCCCCCTACCAGCGACTCCCCTCCCGGCTGTGACCCAGCCAGCACCGCCCGTCACAGGTCTTGGGCAGCTTGCACACCCCAAAGAAGTGACCGGATTTGCTCAGGTCACACGCACGTCATGCGAAGCCAGCGGGCGGAAGCAGCAGGAGCCTTGCACTGGGGACCCGAGGGTCCCAGGACTAGGAAAGACCCCAGGCGACGGACGCGGTTGAGGAGCTGCGCAGACCCGCGCCTGAGGAGCCGGCCCGGTTAAGCGTGGCCTGGCTGCCCGGCAAGGGCTGCTTGCTGGTCTCCCTGCTGTCCGCCTCGTTACTTCAGGGCTCCGCCTGCCACAACCCACCAGCCTCAGCGAGTCTGTGCCTCGTGTCTGGGGCCCAGCAGTCAGGAAACACACAGGAACCCAAGCGATAGCGCAGGTGCCCACGGACCCAGGATCAGGGGACAGACGGCACCCTCAGCCCTGTTAACTGTCACAAGAGCTACCAGGAGAACTCCCTGGGAGAGTAAGAGGCGTAAACTAGCCGAATGCAGACGGGCATGTGTTTGGAGACGGGATCTGTGCTGCAAAAGGTAACTAACAAGTGACAGAAAGATTCCTCCTGGCGGACGGACACCACGTTAGCTCATCCTGCTTCAGCTACTGGTTTCCAAGTTGCCAAAGACCTTTCTCACTGCAACACTTTTCCATTCTTTTGTGATAGTTTCCCAGGTAAAACCAAGCTATCAGAAGCTGTGGTAACATTAGTTTCCCAAGATTGCACATATGGGGCTGGCGGTGTGGTGTAGTGGGTGAAGCCACCGCCAGCAGTGCCAGCGTCCCATATTGGCAACTGGCTTGAGTCCCGGCTGTTCCACTTCTGATCCAGCTCCCTGCTATGGCCTGGGAAAGCAGGAGAAGACGGCCAAGTTCTTGGGTCCCTGCATGTGCGTGGGAGACCCAGGGGAGGCTCCTGGCTCTGGACTGGTGCAGCTCTGGCTGTTGTGGCCAGTTGGGGAGTGAACCAACAGAGGGAAGACCTCTCTCTCTGTCTGCCCCTCCTTCTCTCTGTGTAACTCTTTCAAAAAAATAAATAAATCTTTAAAAAAAAAAAAGATTGCACAGAGTGGGCTGGTACTGTGGTGTAGCGGGTGAAGCCACTGCCTAGAGTGCCAGCGTCCCATATGGGCACTGGGTTGAGTCCCAGCTGCTCCACTTCCCATGCAGCTCCCTGCTAATGAGCCTGAGAAACCAGGGGAAGACGGCCCGAGCGCTTGGGCCCCTGCACCCATATGGGAGACCCAAATGGAGCTCCAGGCTCCTGGCTTCGTCGGGCCCAGCCCCAGCCATGCCGGCCACTTGGGGAGTGAAGCAGTGGACGGAAGACCTCTCTGTTTCTCCCCGCTTCTTTGTAACTCTGCCTTTCAGATAAATACATAAAATAAATCTTAAAAAAAAAACCGCAGCAGGAAGCCGGCCACGGGCACGCTCCCGGCACTCGCGGGGGGCACGCTGCCCCGGTCAGGAAGCCGGCCACGGGCACGCTCCCGGCACTGGGGGGTGGGGGCACGCCGCCCCAGTCAGGAAGCCGGCCACGGGCACACTCCCGGCACTCGCGGGGGGCACACCGCCCCAGTCAGGAAGCCAGCCACGGGCACGCTGCCCTGGTCAGCCAGTGATCCAGGCCAGGGCTGGGAGGTGGCGGGGTCACACAGAGGAAGAACAAAGCAGCGCCTGGTAAGTGTTCCCGCAAAACAAAGGAACAGGCTATGCCCCGCAGTGCTCCGAGTTCACAGGAAGGGACGGAGGAGGCCTGCAGTGAGACCACAGTGCAGCCACAGCTCAGATGTGCAAGCTGCAGGCCAGAGGCCCCGACAGCGAGGAGGCCTGCCTGCACCGAGGGGAGGGCGGACAGACAGACGGACTGTGCTTCACCAGGGAGGCCTGCCTGCACCGAGGAGAGGACGGGGGCGTGGTGTCAGAGACGTGCGCAGAGGGTGTCACAGGAATCCAGTGGGGGACGTGGGCCGCAGGTGGGCTCAGCACACATGACCCACTGCAGAGAAACCACGAGAACCACGGCTCAGCCAGCTGCACGTGGGAGCCCGTCTGAGAGCGCACTGCCCAGGGAGCAGGGTCTGTGACGGTGAGAGGCGGGGCCCGGCGCCATCGGCTGAACCTGCACGAACCTGGGCTTCTTTTCGCCGACACTCATGTAGCCCGGATGTCCTGTCTCGCTAACTAGTAACAGTGCGCTGTGAGCACCGCCCACGCAATACCATGGAGAGTCCCACGGCCACCAGCACGGCCACCAGCACGCCTTGCTCTCCTCACCCCCACCCCTGCCGACGGTTTCCTCCAGGCCTTCCTGGTGCACTACAGACCAGTACATGTGAAGAAAATGTGTGACAGTGAGGCTGGGCCACACTCGGCGTTCCGGCCTTTCTCACTAAGAATGGCACGGGGTGTGTGCGTGTGCGTGTGTTTGGCCTGGGGGTTAAGATGCTGGCTGAGGGGCCAGCGCTGTGGCGTAGCGGGTAAAGCTGCCGCCTGCAGTGCCTGCATCCCATGTGGGCACCAGTTTGAGTCCCGGCTGCTCCACTTCCGACCCAGCTCCCTGCTGTGGCCTGGGAGAGCAGTGGAAGATGCCCAAGTCCTTGGCCCCTGCACCTGCATGGGAGACCCGGAAGGAGTTCCTAGCACCTGGCTTCGGACTGGCCCAGCTCTGGCCATTTGGGGAGTGAACCAGCGGTTCGAAGACCTCTCTTTCTCTGCCTCCACCTCTGTGTAACTTGACTTTCGAATAAATAAACAAAACTTAAAAAAAAAAAAAAGGCAAGCCGCTGGCCGAATGCCCGCCCCCTCTCAGCAGAGCGCCTGGGCTCTTGGCCTGGAGCAAGCTGCCAAGGCTCAGCCCCGCGGGAGACCTGGGTGGAGTTCCCGGCTCCCAGCCTTGGCTGACCCAGCAGCTGTGGCTACGGTGGGCACGTGAGGGGTGCGCGAGCGGACGGGAGCTCACGCGCTATCAAAGGTAAAGAAAAACAAAAAAACCAAGCAAACCCCACGTGTTCAGGTATCTCCAGCCGGTTCCCGGAAGCGCCGAGCTGGCGGCACGTGACAAGCCGAGGCGCCGTGAGCTCTGGGCAGGGAGGCACAGGCGCCGGCGGCTGAGGGAGCCTGCACGGAAGGGCAGCTGCTCTCTCGGCAGAGGGGACGCGGCACCACGCCGGCCCCAGGGGACAGGAAGTGCACAGGAACAGCCCCAGCTGCTGCCTCCCACGCAGCGCCAGGAGGCGGTCACCTGGTCCCTCTGCCAGCCAAGGGCCGTGAACCCGGCAACAGGTGGGCGTCCCCGTCCATCCTCCACTCTCCCGTCTCCTTTCCAAAACATGTTTTCAATGCAAGCATCAGCACCCCCCCACCCTCCGGCCTTTCGCCGGCCGAGCTCGGAGAGGGCCAGGGCAGGCACCCAGCCTTGCTGGCCTCCTGGGTCTCCGTGAGTGAACGGACAGCGGCACCGGGAGGTTCCAGCAGAGGAAGGCCGGCGAGGGAGCCCCCAGCCGGGAGCTACAGCCCCAGCCGTGCTTCTCCAAGCCCCGGTCCAGAGAGCCTGCGGCGGCGGCGCCAAAACTGCCCCGCCGAGCCAGGGACACAGGCGGGCGGCCACGAGGCTGACGTGGGGCCCCGTGGGGCAGACCCGCGGGAACCCCCAGCGGGCAGCACCCCCGCTCTGCGCTCACCTCGCCGAGTGACATCCCACGGCAGGCGGGACCACGCCGCCACCCCTGCCCGCCCTCGCCGCCTCCTCCTCCCGCCGCCCCGGGCACCCGCAGGTGTCTGTCGGCGCGGGGCGGGAACTCGGCCGCGGGCTCGGGGGTCGGGCAGAGCCGAGCCCGCCCGGCCTCCCCGCTCGCGGGGACCCCGGGGCCCCGCTTCCCCCCACTGAAAACGGCCTCGCGCACTCGTGGTGTCAGTCGCCACACGACCACGTGGACAACAGCTTCCCCGGCCCTGTGCGCGCCGGGTGGGCGGCCCCGACCCGACCGGCCTCGCCCCGCCCCCGCCCCGGCCCGGCCCCAGCCCCAGCCCCCAGCTCCAGCCCCCGGCCCGGCCCCGGCCCCAGCCCCCAGCCCCCAGCTCCCGTCCCCGGCCCCGGCCCCCAGCCCCGGCCGGCCCCGACCGGGCCCGCCCCCTGGCCCCGGCCCCAGCCTCCGTCCCCGTCCCCGGTCCCCGTTCCCGGCCCCCAGCCCCGACCGGCCCCGCCCCCCGGCCCCGGCCCCGCCCCCCGGCCCCCAGCCCCGGCCCCGACCCCCGGCCGCAGCCCCCGTCCCCGGCCCCGGCCCCCAGCCCCGGCCGGCCCCGACCGGCCCCGCCCCCTGGCCCCGGCCCCAGCCTCCGTCCCCGTCCCCGGTCCCCGTTCCCGGCCCCCAGCCCCGACCGGCCCCCGGCCCCAACCAGCCCCGCCCCGCCCCCTGGCCCCGGTCCCGACCCCCGGCCCGGCCGCCATGTGGCTCGGGCCGCGCGGCCGCCCACCTGCCTCCCTCTGCGTCTTCACGCTGAGGTACTGGCGCAGCTTCTTCACCGCGCGCTCCCGGACGCCCTTCTCGTGGGACGCCAGCCGCTGAGCAAACTGCATCTCGGCCGGCTGCATGGCGGGGGCCATCGCGCCCACTGGGGCAGCCCCGGCCGCCGCGCGTGCGCAGAGCCGCCGGCGCGCGCCGATGACGTCACAAAGGCGGCGCCGGGCGGCGCGTTCTGGGCCGTCGCGCCGCGTGCCTGGCAGCGGGCGGGGCCGCGGGCCCGAGCGACGCGCGCCGGCGCCGTCGGGGCTGCTGACGGCGAGGTTAGCCGGGGAGGGTCTCGCCGGGCGCCGCGCGCTGGGCTGCGGCCGGGATCGGGACGCGCGGGCGGTCACTGCGGCGTGCTGGGCTCCGGCCGGGACCCCGCGCCTGGCGCTGCAGGTGCAGCGGTCCCCCGCGTGCTGGCCGCGGGTAATGCGCAGTGCACCTGCCGGCCCAGGCTGCCTTCGCGCCGGCGTGGTAATGGGTTTTGGGGGCAGGCCCTCCGGTCCTCCTCCTCCCACGTCCGTTCTGGGACCTTGCTGGGTGGAGAAACTCCTAAAATTCCTCCCAGAACTTAAAATTTTTTAAAATACTTATTTATTTATTTGAAAGTCAGAGTTACACACACACACACACACACACACAGAGGTCTTCCATCCGCTGGTTCACTCCCCAGTTGGCCGCAATGGCCCGAGCCGCACGGATCCGAAGCCAGGAGCTTCCTCCAGGTCTCCCACGCGGGTGCAGGGGCCCAAGCACTTGGGTCATCTACTGCTTTCCCAGGCCACAGCAGAGAGCTGGACAGGAAGTGGAGCAGTGGGGACGACCCTGTGGCGCACTGGGTAAAGCTGCTGCCTGCAGTCCTGGAATCCCATACTGGCACCGGTTTGAGTCCCGGCTGCTCCACTTCCGATCCACTCTCTGCTATGACCTGGGAAAGCAGTGGACGATGCCCAAGTCCTTGGGCCCCTGCACCCACGTGGGAGACCCGGAAGAAGCTCCTGGCTCCTGATTGGCACAGCTCCAGCTGCTGTGGCCAATTTGGGAGTGAACCAGCGGATGGGAGATTCTCTTTCTCTCTCTTTCTCTCCTCTCTGTAACTCTTTCAAATAAATAAATAAATCTTTTAAAAAAAGACAAAAAAAAAAAAAAAAAAAAGGAAGTGGAGCAGCCAAGACTGGAACCGGCGCCCACATGGGACGCCAGCCCTGCAGGCGGCGGCTTTTCCTGCTACGCCACAGCGCCAGCCCCGTCCCAGGACTTCTGAACGGAGCCTTCTTCTAAGCTGCCTCTGGAGAGGGTTGGCCAACCAGTTCCTGAACCATAACAAGTAACAAGACTGATACGTAAATGCTGGTTTGCTTCCAAGGCTTGCTTCCTCCTGGCCTCACACAGAAATTCCGAGTTTTCTTCAAGATTTTCCCGTTTTCTTTGGCTCTCGTACACACATTGCTAATGCCTACCCAGCTGCATAAAATGGTTCCCTAAGAGGAGTAACCCATAATCTTGGGGGTGGGGAGAACACGCCAAAGGCCCCCATGAACCTGGGAGCATCAATCTCTGGTAACACGTGCAGGGGCCTCGAAGGGCCAGCCCACAGTGCAGGTGCAGGGCTGCGGGGTCCCTGCGCAGGTGCAGGACTGTGGAGGAGGGAGAAGTCCCTGCGGGGTCCCTGCGCAGGTGCAGGGCTGTGGAGGAGGGAGAAGTCCCTGCGGGGTCCCTGCGCAGGTGCAGGACTGTGGAGGGAGGAGCAGGCCCTGCGGGGTCCCTGCGCAGGTGCAGGACTGTGGAGGAGGGAGAAGTCCCCGCGGGGTCCCTGCGCAGGTGCAGGGCTGTGGAGGGAGGAGCAGGCCCTGCGGGGTCCCTGCGCAGGTGCAGGGCTGTGGAGGGAGGAGCAGGCCCTGCGGGGTCCCTGCGCAGGTGCAGGGCTGTGGAGGGAGGAGCAGGCCCTGCGGGGTCCCTGCGCAGGTGCAGGACTGTGGAGGAGGGAGAAGTCCCTGCGGGGTCCCTGCGCAGGTGCAGGGCTGTGGAGGGAGGAGCAGGCCCTGCGGGGTCCCTGCGCAGGTGCAGGGCTGTGGAGGGAGGAGCAGGCCCTGCGGGGTCCCTGCGCAGGTGCAGGGCTGTGGAGGGAGGAGCAGGCCCTGCGGGGTCCCTGCGCAGGTGCAGGGCTGTGGAGGGAGGAGCAGGCCCTGCGGGGTCCCTGCGCAGGTGCAGGACTGTGGAGGAGGGAGAAGTCCCTGCGGGGTCCCTGTGCAGGTGCAGGGCTGTGGAGGGAGGAGCAGGCCCTGGGGGGTCCCTGCGCAGGTGCAGGGCTGTGGAGGGAGGGAGGAGCAGGCCCTGCGGGGTCCCTGCGCAGGTGCAGGGCTGTGGAGGGAGGAGCAGGCCCTGCGGGGTCCCTGCGCAGGTGCAGGGCTGTGGAGGGAGGAGCAGGCCCTGCGGGGTCCCTGCGCAGGTGCAGGGCTGTGGAGGGAGGAGCAGGCCCTGCGGCGCCCTGCGGACTCCCGCGGCCAGGAGCCGGGCCGAGCCTGCGGACACCGCGCCCGCCCGCGGCCCCGCGCCCCGAGGTCGGTCTCTCACGTCCTGATCGCTCCTCTGTTGCAGTTCTCGCGTGGACGGCCGGGCGAAGCCAGCCCGCACCGCGGCCGCCGCCCTCCGCAGGCCCGGAAGCGGCGCGAACGCCGCGCGGTTTGAGCCTCGTGGGTCTCCGTTCCGCGCAGCGTGGACGCCTTCCCGCGTTTTCCAGCGAGCGAGGGGTCAGAGGGCGCCGCGCAGGCGCACGGAGCCGAGGCCCCGGCGGCCATGGGCGAGGCCGGCGGCCCTGAGGAGGAGTGCTGGGTCAGTGGGGCGGCCGTGGGCTCGGCGTTCGCGTCCGCCCGGGGCACCGCGGGGTGGGCACCCGCCCGGGAGGCCGCAGGGCGCCGGGGAGCGCCCGCGCGGGCGGGGGCGGCGGCGCGTCCTGCGAAGGCCCGGCTCCCTCGGGAGGCGGCGAGGCCGCGGCGGGCAGCCTCTCCCGGCCTGCTGCGGGCGTTGGCCGGGCGCGAGGCCCGTAACGCGGGCTCCGCTCCCGCCCGCAGCGCATGGGGCCCAAGGAGGAGTTCGTGAAGGTGCGGAGGAAGGACCTGGAGCGCCTGACCACGGAGGTGATGCAGATCCGCGACTTCCTGCCCCGCATCCTGGACGGGGAGGTGCTGGAGAGCTTCCGGAAGCTCCAGATGGTGGAGAAGAGTGAGTCCCGCGAGTGTGGACGGGGCGACTGCCACGCCCCCCTCCCCCCCCCCCCCGGCGGGGCTGAGCGGGGCCTGGCGGTGTGGACGGGGCGGCTGCCGGTCCTGGCCGGCTGAGCGGGGCCTGGCGGTGTGGACGGGTGGGCTGCTGGTCCTCGCCGGCTGAGCGGGCCTGGCGGTGTGGACGGGGCGGGTGGGCTCCTGGTCCTGGCCGGCTGAGCGGGGCCTGGCGGTGTGGACGGGTGGGCTGCTGGTCCTCGCCGGCTGAGCGGGCCTGGCGGTGTGGACGGGGCGGGTGGGCTCCTGGTCCTGGCCGGCTGAGCGGGGCCTGGCGGTGTGGACGGGGCGGGTGGGCTCCTGGTCCTCGCCGGCTGAGCGGGGCCTGGCGGTGTGGACGGGTGGGCTGCTGGTCCTCGCCGGCTGAGCGGGCCTGGCGGTGTGGACGGGGCGGCTGCCGGTCCTGGCCGGCTGAGCGGGGCCTGGCGGTGTGGACGGTTGGGCTGCTGGTCCTCGCCGGCTGAGCGGGCCTGGCGGTGTGGACGGGGCGTGTGGGCTCCTGGTCCTGGCCGGCTGAGCGGGGCCTGGCGGTGTGGACGGGTGGGCTGCTGGTCCTCGCCGGCTGAGCGGGCCTGGCGGTGTGGACGGGGCGGGTGGGCTCCTGGTCCTGGCCGGCTGAGCGGGGCCTGGCGGTGTGGACGGGGCGGGTGGGCTCCTGGTCCTCGCCGGCTGAGCGGGGCCTGGCGGTGTGGACGGGTGGGCTGCTGGTCCTCGCCGGCTGAGCGGGCCTGGCGGTGTGGACGGGGCGGGTGGGCTCCTGGTCCTGGCCGGCTGAGCGGGGCCTGGCGGTGTGGAGGGTCGGCTCCTGGTCCTCGCCGGCTGAGCGGGGCCTGGCGGTGTGGACGGGGCGGTCGGGCGGGTGGGCTCCCGGTCCTCGCCGGCTGAGCGGGGCCTGGCGGTGTGGACGAGTCGGCTGAGCGGGCCTGGCGGTGTGGACGGGGCGGTCGGGCGGGTGGGCTCCTGGTCCTGGCCGGCTGAGCAGGGCCTGGCGGTGTGGACGGGTCGGCTGAGCGGGGCCTGGCGGTGTGGACGGATCGGCTGAGCGGGGCCTGGCGGTGTGGACGGGGCGGCTCCCGGTCCTCGCCGGCCGAGCGGGGCCTGCTCGGAGTCACGTCTGAGCGTGGCCGCAAGCAGACTTCACCCTGCTCCTGACGTCGGGTGATTCTAGCGATCTACTGTTATTTAAGGACGTGCTAGTTTATTCTGAGAGGTACAGAGAATCTCCACCTGCGGGTTCACTGCCGCCGGCTGCAGTGGCCAGGCTGGGCCAGGCCAAAGCCAGCAGCTCCGTCCAGGTCTCCCACGTGGGCCGTCGTCCACTGCTGCCCCAGGCCGCGGCAGAGAGCCGGATTGGAACCGGCGCCCCTAGGGACTCGGTGTCGCAGGCAGTGGCTTCGCCTCCTGAGTCCCAGTGCCGGCCCCAGTGATTTCAGCGCTTGCGTGAACACGGACATTTAACTGCTGGTGCGCGCGGGCGGGCGAGGCGGCTCCCGTCTGCAGCGGCCGGAGCGGCCAGCAGGTGTCAGCACCCGGTCGCCGTCAGCCTCAGACGTCTGTCCGGCTTTAAACAGCCGCTGGCCCCATCTGGTCAGGACCTGGCCCCGCTCCCCGGGGGCAGCCTGCCCTCCTGCGTGCTGCTGGCCCCGCCCTGCTGTAAGTGGCCGTGTGGCTGGGGCTGAGGCTGGGTCCTGAGGGTTCCAAGTATTATGAATTTAATGTTTTAGTACGTTTTACTTTGATAATTGGTTTTCCATCTGGCTGTCTTTTTTTTTTTTTTTTTTTTTTACAGAGTGGACAGTGAGAGAGAGAGAGACAGAGAGAAAGTTCTTCCTTTTGCCGTTGGTTCACCCTCCAATGGCCGCCGTGGCCGGCGCACCACACTGATCCGAAGCCAGGAGCCAGGTACTTATCCTGGTCTCCCATGGGGTGCAGGGCCCAAGGACCTGGGCCATCCTCCACTGCACTCCCGGGCCACAACAGAGAGCTGGCCTGGAAGAGGGGCAACCGGGACAGAATCCGGCACCCCAACCGGGACTAGAACCCGGTGTGCCGGCGCCGTAGGCGGAGGATTAGCCTAGTGAGCTGCGGTGCCGGCGCTTGGCTTTCTTTTCAAAGATGTATTTATTTCTTGAAAGGCAGTGACAGAGAGAGAGAAGCAGACGAACTGGTCTCCCGTCTGCTGGTTCACTGCCCAGGTGGCCCCGGGTGGCCCCAGGTGGCCTGGAGCTGGCTGAAGCCGGGAGCCGGAAACTCTGCCCGGGTCTCCCTGTGGGTGACAGTGGTGCCGTCTTCCTCCGCTTGCCTGTGCGGTTAGGGAGCTGGGTTGGAAGTGCAGCAGCTGGGACTTGCCCAGCGCTCTATGCGGGATTTTGAGGCTTGCAGATGGTGGCCCAACCCACTGCACCAACGCTGGCCTCAGCTTGGCTGTTTTAAGTTCTTGTTTTCTGATGAACTTTCTTGTTACCCATGTTCTGGAACATACTTTATTTATTTTTTTTGAAGACTTATTTATTTGAAAGTCAGAGTTACACAGAGAGGAGAGGCGGAGAGAGATCTTCCACCCAGTGGTTCTCTCCCCAATTGGCCGCAAAGGCCAGAAGTGTGCTGATCTGAAGCAGGAGCCAGGAACTTCTTCACGTGGGTGCAGGGCCCAAGGACTTGGGCATCTTCTACTGCTGTCCCAGCCACAGCAGAGAGCTGGATGGGAAGAGGAGCAGCCGGGACTAGAACCCGTGCCCACATGGGATTCCGGTGCTTCAGGCCAGGGCGTTAACCCTCTGCGCCACAGCGCCGGCCCCTGGAACAAACTTTAGTTTCTGGTAAATCCGACTCACCTTTGGGTCTGTTTCTAGTGTGTCTTTTCCGTCTTCGTAGATTTAGTAATTCTGTATTGAATAACAGACTTAGAAACACCTGTGGTGTTTGTTTATGTGTATTTATCTGTTTACTTAGAGGAGCGAGAGTGTCCCGTACACGGGTTCACTCCCCGGCCGCTGGGCCTGGTCAGAGTCCGGCTCTGGGAACCCAGTCCAGGTCCCCTCAGGGTGGGGACTACCACTTATCGCTGCTGCCCGCAGGGTCTTCACGAGCGGGCAGCTGGACTCGGGAGTGGCACTCGGATACGGGGTGTGGCCATCTGAGCGCGAGGCCCGAGCTTAGCCCCTGTCAGTGGGCGTCAGCAGCGAGAGGCGCTGGACGCCGGTGCGCTCTGCGGCTGCTTTTGGTTCATTCTCTCTCTGGCCAGGTCAGTCTGCAGGAGTTGGGTGGAGGCTGTCTTCGTCCATCAGGGCTGCGCTGACCCTGGGCTGGCTTCCACCTTAGTCCCAGCCGGCCTCGTCCTGGGAGGCAGTCCAGCGAGAGCTGGGTGTGCTGGAGCCGGCCACCAGGGCGGGCCTGGGCCCGCGCCTCTTCCTCTTCCGTGCTGCTTACCGAGTGGGTCTGATGGGGCGCATCCTTCTGCACACGTGTTTCCGTTTTTAAAAATTTATTTATTTATTTGAAAGGCAGAGTTAGGCAGAGAGAGAGACAGAGAGACTGAGAGACTGCGAGACTGCTTTCCCAGGCCATAGCAGAGAGCTGGATCGGAAGAGGAACAGCTCGGACTCAAACCGGCGCCCAGTGGGATGCTGGCGCTGCTCCTGGCTCCTGGCTTTGGGTCGGGCCAGCTCTGGCCACTGCGGTCATTTGGTGAGTGAACCAGCTGATGGAAGACCTCACTCGCTCTCTGCCTCTCTATAACTCTGTGTGTTTGTTTGTTTGTTTTTGATTTTTTTTGACAGGCAGAGTTAGACAGTGAGAGAGAGAGACAGAAAGGACTTCCCTCTGTTGGTTCACCCCCCCAAATGGCTGCTACAGCCGGCGCTGTGCCTATCCGAAGCCAGGAGCCGGGTGCTCTCCTGGTCTCCCATGGGGTGCAGGGCCCAAGCACTTGGGCCATCCTCCACTGCACTCCCGGGCCACAGCAGAGAGCTGGCCTGGAAGAGGGGCAACCGGGACAGAATCCGGCGCCCCGACCGGGACTAGAACCCGGTGTGCCGGCACCGCAGGCGGAGGATTAGCCTAGTGAGCCATGGCGCCGGCCAACTCTGTTTTAAATAAATAAATAAATATTAAAAAAAAGTTCAAAAAATACCTTTTACAAAAAAAAAAAAAAGAGAGAGAGAGAAATGTATTGTGTCACTACAAAGGACAGGCCTTGGAGATGTTTCAGATTAACCGGGGCTAGAGATGCTTGAGGTGTGACAGTACCCCAGACGGGGTTCTGTGCTTGAAGGAAAAAAAATGCCGCCGAGGGCAGCACGGGGTCAGGTGCAGGATGCCAGGCTGGGTTAGGTAAGGTGTCAGCCTCGCCTCCCGGGGTGGTGAGCGCGTGCTGGCGCCGGGCGGCGCCTCTCCCCGGGAGGCGTTCGGACTGCTTAGGGAAAGGGCCGTGGTAGCTGTGCTGGTTCTCGGTGTGTCCGAGTGCGTGCGCGCGTGGACGGGCATTCTTTGTGTTTTTCCCATGAAACATTTGTGAGTGTGAAACTGCTTCCCAGTAGAGCGTTCAGGAAGCATAGCATGGAGTGGAGATGGCCGTCAGAAGGCGGCGGAACTGGAGCGATTCCGGGCGCGCAGGCTCTGCCGTGGGACCCCGAAGCCTCTGAGATTCATTTCCTGGGAGTTTGGTGTTGGTGAGAAGAGAGGGCGCTCGGGCTCTGGGAGTGGGGGGACCGTGGAGACGGCCCGAGAGTGAGCATGGTGAGGGGCTGAGCTTGATGTGGCTTTTGCTACGGCCCGGGCAGGAGCCTGCGCAGCGTGTCGTGCTCTGAGCTGGCAGAGTGCAGAGAGCATGGTGGACAGGTGGCTCGCAGGAGGGGCAGGGCTGAGGGACAGCACGTGGAGCGAAGTGCCCAGGAGATCACAAGTGTGGTGCGCCGTGGCCTGCTCGGGGCCAGGAGCAGGAGG